TTTTCTGCTCCACTTCGCTCCGCTTCATTACCACATATGTCCCTTACATGTTATATGGGCCATAAATAACAGATGTATAATCAAGCTACTTAAGATTCTCTTTTGGTTTCAAATTTTTTTACAATAACTTTATAACTGTTTCTTCAAACAATTGAATCTGCCCCAAAGAGACTCGGAATAGAATAAACCAATTTTATTATTGATGCTGCTGTTGGATAACTTCATGCAGCACTAGCCATCATCAAGCCAAGTAAAGAGAACTTTCAAAACAGTCCTCTTGTAATCAAATTTGTTTCAGGTCAACTAAAATCAGAAGCAGAAGCTAGAGCAAGCCGAAGACATCATTTGATAATTTCTTAAATTACGCAAGTCATTAGACAGCATGATTAGAAATAAGCTCTCCTCGAACATGAGAAAGAAGATAGCTGCTTCAATACAAGAGGGTAATTTGCACTTTTCCGACCAGGTCGACAGTGAGCCTGCTGAAAAACTCGCTCTTAGAAAAGATGAAGAAGAAGACCACGATGCCGGAGTTGATGACGACGGTGAGAGAGGAGAATATTATTTGTAGGGTTTGCTTGAGTGCCAACTAATTGTACAATCATGTTGTACAATATTGTGCGCATGAGTACAATGATGTACAACATTGTTATAAAAAAAGTTTGCATGCATGCAGATTCTGTACCTAATATTAAGAGACACTTGTATTGCCGATCTTTCTTTCCTCTGTCTCCAACTCATTTGAGGATACCGTGAGGTCCCATTGCTTGAATTATTTGAGGTTTAATTAGGCGAAGAGGTCAGCCTGTATGACTTTGTCCATCGAAGAGATCAACCTGTTTGACTTTGTTATCAGGGCTATTGGCAAAGCCGTATTCTTTTGCTCTGTGTCCAACTTCTATAAGAGGGGTTGTTTTAGTTATTTGATATTTAACTTGTGTGAAATTAGATATGAGACGCATGCTGGTGGCTGTTTGGTTTTCCATTTGTGTTGGATACATCGAAAGTTTGAAATTTATTCAGTAAGGAAATGCAAGCGAAAAGCTTTAGTGAAATGTATAGAAAAACACTTCTGAACTGGAGATACCTTCGAATGCGCCTTCGATAGAAGGAGGAAGGGAAGTAAAGAGGTGAACTCAGCGAAAACGGGGAATGAATGCTTTGCCTCGCAAAACAGAAGAAGAAATGACAGTCGAGTGCGACTTCGATAGAAGAAGAAAGGGAAGGAGGAAGGTGAGAAGTGACCTCAACGGAAAAGACGAACGGAGGCTTTTCCTGCACAGAATCTGTAGACAATGGCTGGGTCCCTTTGGCGGAAAATATTTGAATATGTCGCTGCTCAAGTCGAAGGGTTATATCCGCATTATACCCTATGTAACATTTCTGTAACTTAGCTACACCTACAGAATCTACAAATGCACGGAATTTATTTGTAGGTTACAGGGAGATTACAGGGGGTATAACACGGATATATCCCTATACTCTCTGAATAACCTCCGGATGCACACAACGCTGCGTACGTCTTATGTACGCAAATATTTTCCCTACTAGGGTCAACTATAACTATTTGAAAAAGTAATTATAGATTTATTGTAAAAGAAATTATTATTCAAAAAATTGTGGTGACTATTATCATTTTTTTAGGATAAAAAAAATTTAGACTTTTGTCTTCTTGAAGCCACCATAATAATTAGATGAAATTGCAAAGCACAACTTCAGTTTTGCCAATAACCGCAAAGTATGGTGAGGCACTCGACCGTCATCGTACCGCCACCCCAAACATAGCTAAATTCTCAAT